CCTCTAAAATCATGTTTCCTTCTGGGGTGATGCAGGCTGCACAGGCCAGGCCTGAGCAGTATGGGTCAGGCCAGACTGTAGTGGGTCAGAGAAAGACCTTGAGGAGTCTCAGAGGGAAGCATGGTTGGGGCTGGAAGATACCCTGTCGTCGGGCATGAGGAAAGGACTCATTATAACCAGTGGCCTTGCGTGTTCTCCCATCCCAGAAGCTAGAAAGATGGGGCTGCTGCATGCCCACTGCAGAGCCTGCCGGGAGGACCATGGCCCCACAGGAAAAGAGCGCTGAGTCAGCCCACATCAGCTGCGCCCTTGGCTCCAGATCACAGTCCAGGGTTGACTGCCAGGGCAGGTGGCTTCCTCTAGCTGGAGGGGTGGATACCAGAGCTCAGGAGGATGGATGTGTATGGTGGGGTGCAGGAGACCAAGGTCTTGATGCACTGTGGGGTGCTCTGTGCATGAAGCTGGGCAGTGAGCACACGAGAGCAGCTCCTCAGGCTCACCACAAGGCTGGAGACAGCCAGAGCAGAGGACCTCCCCCAAGGCTAGAAGCATTCGGTCTACACTGAGGAGCTGCTTGTCCTAGTTATGGTGTTGACCTTGGCCCTCAAGCACAAACTGTGTGGCCAACCCCATCAGAATATCACCAATGGGGACCCAGGAGAAGATGGAGCTGGCTGACAGGAGTGTCCCCACAGGACACTGGGACAGTGGGAAACAAAGCATATCAAAATCCATGGAACAGAACAATATGATGCTCAGACCATGGTGGGAAAGAATTCACACAACAGGCCAGCGCCGTCCGGGATGGAAGCAATGGATAGAAAGAAGTCCAGAATGGCAGAGCCAGTGAAATTAGCAGACAGAGAATAAAATCATGGTAAATAATGATAAAACAATGATATTCAAGGACCAGACTGAAGCAGGAGCATGATGAGGGGACACTAAGAACAAAATAGACTCCAAGAGCTGAAAAACAGAAGAGCCGCAAGAGAAACCCAAAATGATCAATGATGAGATGACAAGGGAGGAAAGAACCTGCAGATGAGGTTTCCCAATGAGAGGGACCACGAGGAACATCTCAACAGGTTCACAGATCCTGAGTCATGGGTGCGGCAGAGCCCGAGCCACAGGCAGAGCACTGCGCAGTCTGACACATGTAAAACCAGAGTATGAGGGAGAAAGGCTGGGCCAGAAAGACTAGTAAAGAGAAAATGCCAAACAGTGGAAGAATAAAGTAGGGGCTTTCTGTGCCCACTGTAGCTCCCAATTGACGACTCAGAGACCTATTGCATTTATTAATAAGCTTCAAGCACCTTAGGTGGGCAGAATTCATCTATTCTAATCCGACAAAGCTGGCCTGGCCTACTGCCCAGCCACATGCTTCATTACCTGCCAACTATTCTTGCCCTGGCTGATTCTGTTCTATCAGAGGCTCTTGTCCTCACAGAGACTCTCTTATGGCGACCTTCTTCCCGCCCTCTCTGCTCTACCTGGAACCCATTCCCTAGGATAAGAAGTCCTGCCTTAAGTCTCCTGCCCAGCTATTGGCTGTTCAGCTCTTTATTAACCAATCAGAGATGATGGAGAACATTTTTTACATAAAAGCAGGAGATGCTCCAATAATAATGACAATGTCCACTCCTGACTACAACCAGATCTCTGGGTATAGACATTAGCATTTGAACTATCCCCTAACAAACAGTTTTCCAAATGTGAAGTAAAACTGATGAGAACAGAAAAGTTGAAGTGTTTCCAGACACCCACCTGTCAACTGACATTTAAGCCATGTCCCATTCAATAATAGTGGCAAGTTTCATTTAGGCACACATGGAGACACACTAAACCAACTCCTCAGCCCTGTGAGCCGCGGCACATTTCTAGAACTAGAATCCAGAATGTGTCTAGGCCGCAGAAGAACACGGAGTCGCCCACGAAAGAGCTGGAAGACTGCCATCATGTAGAAAGTGAAGAGAACGTGTAAAATTGTCCCCGTGAACCAAAGATAAAATCACCCAGGGAATTAGGATGTATTTTGAGCAAAATAAAAATAAAAGTACACACTGTACTCTGTGAGATGAAGCTAACACAACATGCAAAGAGGGGCATTCTGTGATTTTTCTTGGTAAACAAGGGAGTCCCAGAGTCCATGCTCTGACTCAAAGCTAGAGATCAGGTACAAGCAAAGCCCCAAATAACCAGTTGGGGAAGGCTATGAGTAGTGGGCAGCTCCAAGAGGAAATGGCCAAGGGTCTTGCATTTTGAGATGACAAAATGGATATTTCTTTCTAGCTGTATTGGTCAAGAAAAAGGAAGAAGAGATTAATGACCAATATTAAGAATAGAAAATCTCACCACCCCAGAGTCTGTGGACACCAAAGGGACAATGAAGAAGGCAATGACCTCAAGCGGACACACTTAGCAGTGCAAAGGAAATAACCAAGTCATTGGAAAGACAGAGTCTATAAAACTAACATGAGAAAAGTAAGAAACCAGAGCAGCCCTGTAGCAGGGGAAGAGATTAAAGTCTTAAACAAAAACACATTATAAAGAAAACAGTGATTCCAAGTGGCCTCATAATTAGATTCTCAGCCTTTATGGGAGAAGGGCACCAATCTTGCCATGCATGAGAACACAAGAGGATGAGACACACCCCACCCCCACCTCACTTCCTGAGATGAACTGTATTTCTATATAATTGCAATCAAGCGTAGGAGATGGTGGGCTGCAGTGGTGCATGCTTTTGATCTTAATGTCAGGACACATAGGCAGAGGGATCTCTATGAATTCAGCCTGGTCTACACAGCCAGTTCCAGAATAGCCAAGGATATATAGTGAAACCCTGTCTCAAAAAAAAAAAAAAAAAAAAGATACAAAGATAAAAATGTGAGAGCTGGAGATAAATAAACAAGCGACCAGCTAACACATTTAAAAAGGATTAACTAAAAATATGTGTAAAGATCTAAAGATAATAAAACCTTTCTGAAAGAGATTGAAGAAATCCCAGATGAGTGAATGGAGAGGTGGGGATACCATGTTCATGGACCCAAAGACACAGCATTAAATACCTGATCCTTCCTAACTGATCTGTGGGTTTAAGAAAATTTTTGTTAAGATCCCAGCAGGCTTTACTGTCAAATGTGATGGGCTGGTTCTAAAATCTCTGGGATGCATAAATGAGCCAGAGCAGCCAACCAAACCTGAAGAGGGCAAACAGGATCAGAGACATTCCATTATTGGACCCCAGGACTACTGTAACGGCTGTGTGAGATGTAGCAGTAAGCATGGTACCTTCAGGGGGTCACTACAGAAAGCCAGCGTAGGCGCGTGCTGGCATTGTGTAGAGGTAACCCTAAGCCATCACAAGTGTCATGGCTTAGATGTACACTGTCCCCGCAGGCTCCAGTGTTTAAGACTGTAGATCCTTTGGGAGATCAAACCTGGCTGGAGAAAGTACCTTCCTAGGGGTTGGGGCCTGAGGCTCATAACTGACCCAGCCTCTCCTGTCTGCTTCCACCAAGATGTGAGCAGGCGGCCTCATGGCCCTGCTGCCGCAGCTGAGCACGGCTCGGCCCTTTCCCACCATCTTGGACTACACCCTCAAACCCTGAACCGAGTTAAACCCTGCCTCCCTCGAGTTGCTTTGTTTCGGATAATTGGTCACAGCGTGGAACAAAGCAGCTAACACAGTGGGCAGAGACAGGCATCGAGGCAGCTGTGAGGAAGCCCTGGGCAGCTGCTGCCCCTCAGGAGAGTATTTCAGGTCTCAGTCCATCACAGAGAGAACCAGAAACACTTACTCAGCAGAAACTGAGCACATCTGCCCATACAGTCTGACTTGCTGTCTGGACGTGTGTCTCCAGGTGTCCCCAGAGCAGGGATGTGGGGGGGCGAGTACCCAGTGTGAGAGGGCAAAAGGTGCTGAAGGAACTGGTGGAAACAGTTGCTCTGAGGCAGGAGGAGAGCGGGACTCAGATGTGGCTGGAGATGACAATGGGCTGGGAGAATAGCTGAGGCCCTGAGGAACAGCCTGGCTGGGGGCTCTGTGTACCGATGAATGCAGGCTGGAGGGACAAGAAGGGCTCAGTGAGGGAAGGCAGGGCCCGTCAGTGTTGTCCAGGGTGGGATGGGGGCATGGACATCGCCGTCTTTGCTTCACTGGGGATAATGGTCAGCTGAGCATGATAGCCCTGGCCTCCTCCGCAGCCACCCAAAGCGCAAGTTTCCGGGTCTTGACATGTTCACAGACCTGTGCACCAGATGCAGCCTCTCCACGTCAGAGGGGGCTGACATCATGGTCCCTTGTGAGTAGAGACCCAATGTAGCCTATGTCCCTGGGTCTCAGTGGAGGGGGCTGGGCAGTGCCTGCTCCTGTGTCTGTCCTGTTTCTCTCTGTATACCCTGTGGAGAATTATCAGGCAGGCAGGCAGGACTCACAAGGCAGCCCAGGCCCAGGGGCCATGGTACCTGGAACCATGAGTGTGGCTTCCCTTGTGTGACTATCCATATCAAGAAGAGCAGTCGCCGGGGTGGCCTGTAGAGGCCTGCTGACCACTCTGCCCATACCTGTGGGTGACCAGCCACCTGTAGGGGTCGGAGAAAGTTGAACTCTTGGGGGAGGAGCCCTAAGTCTCACCCAAGAGAGGTGGCCACCTGTCCCTTATCAATTGCCGAGTGGAGCCCTCTCGTCCTAGAAACATCCTGGCTAAGGAGATGGACATTTACTTGAGCCACATGTTCCATGAGAAGAGATCTAAGTTGTTAGGAGCGTTTATTGAAGCCTCTGGGCTGATGACAGGCTGATGTTGGGGTCAGCCAGAGCAGAGGGACAGGGGGGACAGAGTCCTGGAGGATCAGCAGGCCTCCTAGGAAGCAGGAGGAGAGGTCAAGTCACAAAGGACAGGTTGGGGGCTCCATCCTGGGGGGGATCGTCTATCCCAGATTAGGGTCAGACTGGAGAAGCTGAGAGGGACCTGAGCCAGCTAGCACCATGAACAGGTCCATCAGCAGCTGGACTTCTGGCCCGAGGAGAGGCCACAGCAGGCCTGGCGGGAGCAGGCAGGGCGGCAGAGCAGGGACACACAGGAGGCTGGGCGGCAGCAGCTGGGCTGGCAGGAGGAGGCACAGCAGGAGGAGGTGGGCAGGCAGCAGGCGGGTCTGCACACGGGGCGGCAGAGCAGGGACATGCTGGAGCAGGGCTTGCAGCAGACAGGAGCACAGCAGGATGGCTGGCAGCATGAGGAGGATCCACAGCAGATGGGTGTGCAACAGACAGGCTTGCAGCAGACAGGCACACAGCAGGAAGGCTGGCAGCATGAGGGCTGGCAGCATGAGGGCTGGCAGCTAGACTGCTGGCAGCATGAGGAGGATCCACAGCAGATGGGTGTGCAGCAGACAGGCTTGCAGCAAAGAGTCACACAGCTGGATGACTGGCAGGGGGAGCAGGTGCAGCAAGCTGGCTGGCAGCTAGACTGCTGGCAGCATGGGGGTGCGCAGCAGCTGCTGCAGCCAGATTGGCAGCAGGGGCGGCACACTGGGGTGCAGAGGAGGGTCTGGCAGGTGGACGACTGCCCAGAGAGCTGCTGTGCCCCCAGCTGCTGCCAGCCCAGCTGCTGCCAGTCTAGCTGCTGTGCCCCCAGCTGCTGCCAGCCCAGCTGCTGCCAGTCTAGC